TGACATTTGTTTACGCATTCAAATGAACCGCTAATATGAGTGCCAGAAAAAGAAGAAGAAGGAAACAAAAGGCGAAAAGTGCAAAATAAATACGCATGTCATCTAATGACTTATAAAATTCTTTAAATTTGTTTTGTCCAAATAAGAGGACCAAAGTCTGCAAAAAAGATGGAAAGTTTGATGCCTAAATACGAACCTTGCAGTTTGCGGATGCGTATGCCTGCGTTTACTTACTGGATTTGAAGACAGCAACAAGCTTTTCAAATGAAATAAAAAGTAGTTAAGCTGCATGAGTGAAGAATCCGTAGATTACGATATCGGTAACCGATAACAATGACTTAGTTTTGACTTCTGGTAAAATTTAATCGGAAACTGCGAAGACTGAAGCCGGAACTTCATTTCAGTTTTATATGTTTTGAGTCAAACTGCTTTGACTTAAATTTCCCTGTTTTTTTTTTTTGGAAAAAAAAATATTATATTTTGTACTACATAACCGGTAACTGCAATTCACATGCATCCACACACTGTAAAATTACTAAAAGAAAAATACACGCAGTTTACAAGTAATAGACAATGTGTATCTTAAATTTACAAAACACTCCGAAATTGGCAACCAAAATGACGTATTAGATTGAATGGTGGCAAAATCATATCCAAACCTTTGCATAACAATGTCGACGCCATCTTTTCACTCCACTACAAAGGCGTACCAATAACCTCCAACACCGAGATAGGCACAGAGACCGACAAAGCGTACACACACACACATACACACACATACATACATACATAACACACACACCCAGAGATACACACATATTCGAAAACAGAATAACACAATGATTCTAATTTAATTCATTAAACATCACTAAGATACTAGATACCCACCTTATCTGTAATTTACCATTATCCGATATCACAGAGTGACGTGGACTCCCAAATGTCCATCTCCAACCAATTTATTGCACTCCTAAACTATCACAATGAACAAAGTTTAAAAATTAGAAAAAATTTTTTCCTCGTTTTTATTCAAAACAATATATCAAAGATTTGCTTGTAGCA